TCATGGACCCCATATCATAAACACCTTGCATTGTAAGCTCTCCCCAGATGACTACATCCACACTTATGCCTTCAACTACCTTATTATATGCATGCTAACGGCAGCCAAACATGATTTCCAGCCTGACATTTCTAGAACACCAACCAGCATTATCTGTCTATATATAAATCTCCATAGCTGTTACTGGACAGTTCAACCTGGATGCCCAGGGGCATTTCATAAGCAACATACACCCAAACTCCTCCTGTTTTATCTATCTTGATAATGGCATGAGCTAGCTACTCAAGCCAGAATCCTGGGAAATTCTAGAATATTCCTCTTCAACTCACACACCAAATCCATCTACCTGGCAAGAGTCTTTCAAATCCAACATCTCTTTCGTGCCCTCAATGTGTATCATTTCGTGCCCTCAATCTGTTCAGGATGATGCCGTAGCCTAACTAGTTTACCTGTATCTCTACAGCTCAGCCTCCACACTAGTTATCAATCAATTTCTAAAAAATAATTTGACGTTTGCTACTTGTAAGTGGTTCTCCAATGTTTTCAGGGTAAGTTCAAAATGAATGCTTTAGCCCACAAGACCTTAAAAACTATGATCTTGCTTACATCTCCAGTCACTTGTCCTACCACACATCCTTTGCTTGACGTACCTACCTCTGACCTTAACTGTTCCCAAATGGGCCATTTTGTAATACCCCAGACCTTTATATATGCTGTTCCTTCTGCCAGGAATTGCTTCCCCACCCCATATACCTAACTCCCTACTCCTCCTTCCAGATACTTCATATTAAGTGTCCCTTGCTCTTGGCAACATTTCCTATTGAATTCCTCTTCTCTCATGCAGGGGCTCCTTTGGGCTCTATCTCTACTCCTGTAAATTCTCTGACTATTCTGTAAAATGGCATTTACCACTCTATTATTATTTTTTCCCTCTCATCTATCTCCTCTGCTTACTGGACTGCTTGAGGGTAGGGTCATGAACTTAATTCATCCTTAGAGCCTCTCTGGCCGGCAGTGGGTATTTTATAAGGTCCAATATTTCAGTGATTACTGAAGGCATGGATATGTTTGATGGGTGGCTATTTCTCTAACACTGGCTCATTTGTAGGGCACATCAATTATCTGCCCAGGGTCAATTACATGGCCTGTGGTTATCAGTAGGTGAAGGGATAGGTGTGTATAATGGGGTGAATTGGGTAGTTTGAGGTACAGTTATTTCTAAGTCAGTTGTTTGAACAAGTCCCACATCCTATGTCTCTTCTCTCTTTTCTCGACTACTTTCTCAGTCTCTACTAAGAGAAATTACAAGTGGCTGCTCCTAGTTTCTTCAGTTGGCTGAATTGTCTCCCTTATGTAGCTCACCTCTGCCCTCTGGTGGCAGGAATATGCTCTACCACATCCCACTTCAAAGACAACTATGGCCCCAGTAGCAGAACAGTTAATAGGTCTGCAAATTTGGAGACCTGTCTATCCTTTGGTATTATGATTTGCTGGAAAGATTAAATGATAAGTGAAATAGTGCTTGACATAAATAGGCAATCAATAAGGCTTAGCTTCCTTCCTTTTTAATGAAAGAGCCCTTAGGAACAGGCTGTGTGGTTCTGGAACAATGAACCCCAAGATATTTTAGTGGTAAGGCAGGTCCCTGCCTCTAGATGGTAAGGTTCCAAATAGGATGGATAGTAATGACAACAGACAGCATTTGTAGAACACTCAGTCTGTGCCAGGTATACCTTTTTATCCTCATGACAGCACAATTGAGGTAGGTCCTTAGTCCCAGAAGGTTGGCTTACAGAGTAGATTGGTCAAATGGGACAAAACTATATCCTCAAGTGGGGTTGGAGGGAACAGAGAGTCAGGGAGAAGCCACAGAGGGCCTGATAAAGACAGCAGACCAAGAAAGGATAATATCAACCTTTTTTAGTTTAAAAAACAAAGTGTCAAAAAACCCCTTATGTCCAAGAGAAGCAAACTTTCACCTGATATAAACCAGACTTTGCAGACTTTGCTCTCTTTTGGATGTGATTTCCATCTACTTGGATATAATTCATATGATATGTTAAATGAGTCAAGAATGTGAGATTTCTTTTTTTAAAAAAAAAAACCAAGTTTGAGTACATACTTACTGAATATTACTATATGCAAAGCACTTAGACAAAGCCTTTCACACTAAAGTCTTGTAGAAATGGAGAATCCTGCAGTGACTTTCTGTGGAAGGAAACAGGTTTAACTCCATAGATGAGAATTCTTCACTATCAAAGAATAGATTATACCCTGGACTGGAATAATATTTGAGCAATGATATTCATGGAAAAATTCTGCAAATCCTTTTAAATAGAGGACAGCCCTACCTTATCTCCAAGTCATTTTCTAGTAGAATTAATGCTTCATGCAACTTTAAAAATAAGGTGGCTTTGACATTACTTGTGTGTCAATTTATACACAAATGTTTACTGACGTGCCTATGATGTTCCCAGCACAGTGCTAGGCACCTTTAAGGTTACAAAGGCTGAGTGGTCCCTGCTCTCGTGGAGCTTACAGTCTAAAGAGCCACAGAACATTGGCAAAACGTTTAAGTGCTTAACTGAATAGTTTAGAGACAAAAGTGCTGAGGAGTTGAGGGAGAGAAGGGTAGAGCAGGTGCTGGAGTCTTCAAGAAAGGCTGGAAGAAAGAGGACTCCAATTAGTTCTTGAAGAATGTGTAAGGTCCAGCTTGGTAGAGAACAGGGTGAGGCATTCAGGCAAAGGCACACTAGCAGACATGGGTATGGAGTGAAGACAATGGCCCATGGTGGGGCCGCACACACACTAAATTGTACTGAGCAACCAAGCAGTCAACTCCAGAGGGGGCTAAAACTCAGATGAATAGTCTTTTATTTCTGTAGGCATTTGAGAGCCACCACAGACACTTGGGCAGGGGAAAGAGATCTAAGATTATGTGCAAAATGGACTTCAGGAGAAAGATGAGGGAAGAAATTAGAAATTTTGTCAGTAATCCTGACACAGATGATGAGAGCAGTTACATTATCAGAACCATGTGACTTAGCCAGAAGACACTGTTTTCCTTTCCTATGTGTTAATAATTTAAAATATGTATAGTACTTTTAATTCAAGTTATACTAGTTCGTTAAAAGGAAAAATACCCCAAATAAGCTTTAAATACACATCTCTTCAAACATCTGCTGTTTTTTGTTTTGTTCAGCGTGGAAGCAGTACTTTCTGTGATTAATCTGCTTTATACATGTTTCAATTAAGTAACTACAGAAAGAAGAATAACTGAATTGCTATGGGTTTCTGAAATAGCCACAAAATTAACCTGGGGCAGGGAACTACACTACAACGCTAACAGGTCTTGTGTGTACCTTCTAAAAATGAAACTGACACTTATCTGACTCATTAGAAAATAGATACTAGGGTTTTAAAGGATATTAAGAATGCCTTTTTAAAAAAAAATAATTAATTTTATTTATTTTTATTTTTGGCTGCATTGGGTCTTCGTTGCTGCCCATGGGGGCATTCTCTAGTTATGGTGAGCCGGGGCTACTCTTTGTTGTGGTGCGTGGGCTTCTCATTACAGTGGCTTCTCTTGTTGCGGAGCACAGGCTCTAGGCACACGGGCTTCAGTAGTTGTGGCACATGGACTCAGTAGTTGTGGCTCACGGGCTTAGTTGCTCCGTGGCATGTGGGATTTTCCTGGACCAGGGCTCGAACCTGTGTCCTCTGCATTGGCAGGCGGATTCTTAACCACTGAGCCACTAGGGAAGTCCAAGCATGCCTTTTTTATAGGAGAAAAACTTTAAGATAAATTTGATGATAAATTTATACAGCTTTAAATAACTTAAATCAACTCTGCCGTAGCAGACTTCTCTGAAGAACAAACACAAAGGAATAAGGGTGATTTATGAAGTGATTTTAGTGAAGGGAAACATAGTGTGCCCTAACATTAACGATATGAGGCTGGATTATCCACAGGTGTGGAGAGGACCACTGTGGATTATCCAAATAATCCAAACACTCTCACACATGTCATCTCTCTCACAAATGTTCCTCTCACCTTGTCTGGATTTGAGAGGTACACTGGGATGTATGTTCTCTCCCATGATTGTGATTAACAGCATTCTCTGATATTTACCACATCTTCCAGATTGTATATGTCTCCTCTTTCAGGCACTTTATTTCCCTGTACCCCAGCATCGTACTAATAATAATCCTGAAGTATTAAAAGATGCTTTGATAGGCTAGATGGCTCTTGTTAAGTCTTTTGGCACAGACAGAGGCACCCCTACTGAGTACTTGGTGGGGCATTCAAGAGAATAGCTAAGAAGGTTCTGGAGTTACCAAATCAGCAGGAAGGAGTTAACAGTTCTGGAGTAAGAACAGCTGATACTTTTTTTCCCTTTTTTTTTGACAGTCAGTGATTGGGAGTATTCAGATGGCCAGCTAAAGAGAGAAGTGCTAGAATCCAGATGGACCAGTGGTTCTTAAGCATGGACCTTGGACCACATCAGCATTGGCATCACCTAGGAACTTGTTAGAAATGAAAAGTCTTTGGCCCCAAATTCCATTCAAGAAAGTTTCCTGATTATTTCAGAAAACTGGAATGTTGTCACAATAATATTGCTTAAAATTTAAGTTCAATATCCTAGCTAAATAAATATTTATTCTTGTAAACTACATCTTCTAAATTAAAAGAGGCAGTTAATTTCTACATTATTTTGTTTAGAGGAACTGTGTAATTTTGGAATCAACAAGAGTTTGTGTCACTCTTCTCATTAAATATTCATCTATGCCATTTAGCTGTCCAAAAATGGCATCAGGAACACCTACACAGTGGGAAGGAACCGTCTAAGTTTCTGTGCACTTGAGCTGGCCTCTGTGGTGGTGACTTTTTGTTTTTGTTTTTTTGCCGTATGCGGGCCTCTCACTATCCCGTTGCGGAGCACAGGCTCCGGACGCACAGGCTCAGCGGCCATGGCTCACGGGCCCAGCCGCTCTGCGGCATGTGGGATCTTCCTGGACCGGGGCACGAACCCGCGTCCCCTGCATCGGCAGGCGGACTCTCAACCACTGCGCCACCAGGGAAGCCCTGTGGTGGTGACTTTTGGCTGCTGTGGTAGAGGTGCCTCCCCCTCATCTTCACTTCCAGCTTCATCAGTACTTTCACCGGCCACCATGTCCTGGATGACCTGTGTCCAGCAGCTCCTGAGACATGATGAGACCATCATCTGCAGTGACAAAGTCCCAGAAATTTACTTCATTTGGGACACAGGTGGCAATCGTCACTGAGTGCCGCAACTTTTCAATGGCAATATCTGGTTCACTGGCTGCTGCATCTACTTCAGAATCTGTCAATTCCACAGGGATGATGCCTGCCTTCTGCCAGCATTTCACCACTGTGGACTGCTTGACTGACCACCATGCCACAGCAATCATGTCAATGGCCTGCTTGATGTCCACTTTTTCTTGATCTTCGCTGCTGTTGAGCTTGAGGAGGATCTGTTTTAGCAGGTGGCTCCTATACAGCACTTTTGTGGTATGAATTATGCCAAGATTCAGTGGCTGCAAGACGGCAGTACACTTTGAGGGCAGATACCCCACCTGAATCCTTTCCAAGCGTGGAAGCACGTTGTGAGCGGAGCAGTTGTCAATCAGCAGGAGGATCCGGCGTTCTGCCTGCTTCATTCTGGCGTCCACTTGCATCAGCCACTCATTTTTTTTTAACATCTTTATTGGGGTATAATTGCTTTACAGTGGTGTGTTAGTTTCTGCTTTATAACAAAGTGAATCAGTTATACATATACATATGTTCCCATATCTCTTCCCTCTTGCGTCTCCCTCCCTCCCACCCTCCCTATCCCACCCCTCCAGGTGGTCACAAAGCACCGAGGTGATCAGCCACTCATTAAACAGATCCTGTGTCATCCACGCCTGCTGGTTGGCTCGGTAGTCACAAGGGAGGGAATGGACATTCTTGAGGCAACGTGGGTTGGCTGACCTATCAACAATCAATGGTCTCATTTTTTCAGTCCCTGAAGCATTGCAACAAAAGAGTGCTGTCAACCACTGCCTTGCTTTCTTGCCCCCTCTACAATGGTCCCCTTTAGCAGCAAGTGTGTGCTGGGGAAGCAACTGGAAAAACATTCCTGTCTCATCAGCACTAAAGATATCATCTGGGCTGTAGTCAGCAATTAGTTTTATAATTTCCCCTGCATGCCACTCATTAACCTTATCTATTCCTAGACCATTCATTAATCTGTCACTATGCTCTCTACAGACTGCTTTCAAAGCAATTCCATGGCGATCATGAAATCTGTTCAGCCAGCCCACACTTGCTTGAAAATTGTCATAGCCAAGCATGTTGGCCAAGTTTAGTGCTTTTTTCCGAATGACAGAACCAGTCACGAGAATGTTTTTGGCATGGATTTCTTGAAACCAAGCAAAAACAGCTTATCAATGTCGTCATAAAGAGCATTCCTCATCCTTTTCCTCTGAGGTCCCACAGATGCCTCCCGCACCTTTTCTTCAAATGTGGCACGATCCTTTAAGAATGTAGACAAAGTAGAAGGAGTGATTCTGAATTCTTTTGCCACATCGCCTTTCCTCTTGCCTGAGTCCACAGCTTCCACAACTTTCATTTTCTCCTCTGGGGAGAACTGCCGACGTTTCTTGTTCCCCTTGTTTGCTATATCTGTAGAATGAGGGCCGGACCACAACTACCAGGGCTGTGTCTGTTCCTCCTCTAGGCTTGTTTTGCCACAAGTAAGGAAAGCTGAGAAGACAAAATGGAGTGCCTATCAGGAACCAAAGATAATGGATTCCCCCTAAAAGATGGGTTCAGATTTTTAAAAATTGTATTAGAAAAATGATAATATAAGGCCAAAGCCAAGAGAAGATAGGATCGTGCTACTGATTTTTTGTAGAGGTTATTTATACAGACTCATAGAACGTTTGAAATAAAAGAGATATAGTCTAGTTTACTTAAACTTTCTGAGCCTTTGTAAAAATAATAACAGTGTCTGGTCTGTCTATTGTGAGACTATATTGAAGTAACAGATGGTAAAAGAGCTTTGCAAATAGCAATGCATTGTATAAATTCAAGGAATTATTATCTGGCTCATTTTAAAGATACAGAAACTGAGGCCTAGGGAAGGGGCCTACCCAGGTTCATACAGCTCAGATTTCTTGACTCAGATCAGTGCTATTTCTGCAACTCCATAGTCCTGCTTGAAATTCCACCACAGTGAGATCTTCATAGCTCTATCGCTGCTTGGCTTGGAAGGATTTTTCATTGCCAGAAGATGTTTCTCATAGCCACACATTCATTTAATAAATATTTACAGGTGCCAAGTGGTAAGGACACAGTGAAGAACAACATAGTCAAGGTCCCTGCCCTTATGAAATAATACAATGTGGTGTAGGGACATAATAAGTGAACAGATAAATTAGTTAATTACAGAGTGTGATATGTGCTATGAAGGAAATAAACGTGACCCAACAGTAGCAGTTTTGGTAACTGCCTGCTTAAACCTTTTATCATGAGAGTCCTCAAAGAACAAGAGAAGCTGCTGTGCTTCAGGCTGTGACTGTACCTTTTTAAGGACTGACTTTTGTCACTACCCCCACACATCTGTCTATCCATTCATGGCATCCTCTGTGTGCTAAGCACTGTGCTTGATGCCAGCCATACAGAGATGAATGCAGCATAGTGCCTACCATTGAGGGGCTTACCAGGGAAGACAAAACTAGAGTATGGAGTGCTATAACAGAGGTTACAGAGTACTGTGGACGAGAAGACAGAAGTGGGATGATCAACTGGGTGGGACACAGATGGGCAGTGTACTTCAAAGAGGAAAAAATATTGATGTTGGGACTTAAAGCATAAACAAATAGGAATTCATGAGATAGAAGGAAACGTGTAAAGGCAATGAAGTACTATAGAAAATAAAAAGACGTGATCAGGAAAAAAAGAAGTCTTTGGAGAAGAGAACAAGGATCTTGGGACAATAAGATGCCTTTGGAGTTTTGTTTTTTGTTTTTGGAATGACATGATCAGATTTGCACTTTAGAAAGAGTCTTTTGGTTGCAAGGTGGAGAGCCTAATAGGTAAAGTCCATTTTCCTAAGAGGTGGCCCTAAATCTGAAGGTAAATGCAGGCTAGCCTAGTAGGCCATATATAGTTGGGATATGTTAATTTGAGTGCAACAAGAAGCTCCTGGAGGATTTTAAGCAAGGAGAAAGATGACTGCTGTGTGAAGAATGGAATGGAAGGGTGTCAGAGAAAAAGAAAGAGACTAGTTAGGAGGCTGTTGCCGGAGTCCAGATGTGAGATAATGGTGGCTTGGATAGAGTAATCGTGAAGATGGTAAGAAGTAGTCAGTTTGGGACTATGTTTTTGCGGAGCTTGCTGATGGACTGGATGTGAGGTGCAGGAGGAGTCAAGGATAATTCCCAGATTTCTGGCTTGAGCACTGAGCAATTGAGTGGATGGTGATGCCATTTACTGAAATGAGAACCAATTATTGGTCCTTTGTAATCATAATTTGTTACTTTCCATGCTTAATATCGCTTACATGTGGTAGGACTGGGATTCAATCCCAAGGAGGCTCAGCACAAAGCTAGCATTCTGAACACCACAGAGTGCTATATAGCTTGTTCTGGGAACAACCAGTACTGAGAAGAGATGTGGAAAGAATGAATCAAGAGCCAAACCAAAGTCTTGTAGGTCGAGATAAGTTTGAATTTTATTCTAAGTAAACAAGAGGATACTGGAGGGTCTTAAGCAGAGAGTGACCTAATCAGGCTTACAGTGCAAAAAGATCAATTTGCGTGTTGTGGAGAATAGATTGTAGAGGGAAAAGAGAGGAGATGGGAAGAAATTGCCCCAGTCCAGGCAGGAGATGACGGTGACTAGGAGAAGACTGGTGACGGTGGTAGATGGAGAAAAGTAGGCAGATTGGAAATGCACTTGCAAGGTAGTGAGGGTGAGGGGACTTGTACGAATGTGGCACCATCTGTGACATTGGCGGGAAGGGACAAGACAATCCTTATCTGATTCCAGAGCCTCTCCACATGGTCATTCAGCTCCGTTTGAATCACTCACTACCATTACTGAGTGTGGGACGGTGGGAGAGACGGATTGAGGGCAGATTACTGGGTTGAGGAGGACGTCTTCATGCGGCACTAAGAAGAACCCTGTCCTGAACAAGCCGGGACAGAGTGAAGAGGACTGGGGTCAGGCCTTGAACTCCGTGCTGGGAGGGTGATGCTCGGGCTCTGCTGGCCAGACGTGGCTTTGACAGGCGAGGCGGAGCCTCGACCCCTCACGTTCGCCACAGCCCCGCCCTATTTACCTGAACGCCCTACGGCAACGCCCGGGGGCTGAGGGCACCCACCGTGGGCGGCCGCAGCTTCCTCCTCCTCCCGGAACCTCTAGCCGGAAGTAGTCCGTCCGCCTTAGCGGCCCCCTTCTAAGTCTCTAAGCAGTTTCTAGGGGCCCGCCCCTCAGCCCGGGCTGGACTGTTGCGCCTGCGCAAGGGGTCGCAAGCAGTCACGCGCAGCCGGCCGCTTCCGGCGCGCCGCGAGGGCAGCCGGGACGGGTTTTCCTAGCGATCCGAGGTGTGGTGCTGCTGCTGCTGCTGCTGCTGAACCGGTGCCGCGGCGACGCCCGTGTGCCTGCTGTCTTCCTCGGGCTCCCCGGGGCTTGACCCCCGGGGCTCTCGGCAGGCGTCGGTGAAGAGCCTGCAGAGAGAACCTGCGCTCCCACACCCGCCCTCTACAACCCCATATCACGACTCCGAGGAAGGGGAGAGAGAGGGGCTGTCGCGACTCCGTGCCGTGTGTCGCCGGGCGGGGCCGCGGGGCCGGGGCTCCTCTAGCCCCCGGGATGCGCGCGCGAGTCCTCGTCTCCACTTCCTTGTTGCCACTGCCACGACTGGAGCCGCCTCTCTCCGACCGCGGGGAGCGCGAGTGCGCTGGCCAGCCCCCCCCGTCGAGCCCCCTGGCCGGGCGCCTCCGGGAATGTGAGCCGCGCGGCTTGCACGCTTCTCCGGGTAAGTCCCACCTTCGAGCGCCGCGCCGCGCCGCACCGCACCGGCTGGGCGCCCACGAGCTGGGAGCTGCGGCTCTCTGAGCCTTGTTGCCTCTTCTACGAAGTAGGAGTAGTGAGCCTTAGTTTCCACCTCCCGCATTCGGTACCTTTGGGACATCTAAGGCCCGTAGGCCGACCATGGCCGACTGCTGAGCTGTCAGAAGCCATTTAATGAGGTTCCGAGGAGGATCTGATAGGACGGTGAAAGCGTGTCACAGATTTCAAGTACTGCCTTACTTCTCTTTTACAGATGAGAAAACTGAGGCTTAGAGAGAGTAAGTAGATTGCTCAAGGTCATAGAGCTCTGTGCGCGTCCTGTTAAAATGCGTAACTTAAATTTAGTACCCTGATTTTCTGCCCTCCAGAGCCCTTGGTTTTAACCTTTATATTATCGTGCCTTTTTTTTTTTTGCATTGCTGTACTGAGGCCTAGGATCTGAAAATACTCGTGGACCCAGGCTTAAACCGGGCTACTCAAACAAGCCAAAACTCAGTCTCTTCTTGCCCCTACCCCAATATGATTGTAATGACTTTGTTTTCTAATTTGTTTTGTTCTGGGTGCTAAAACCCTGTATGTCATTCTTTACAGAAGCTGTCCTGCAGTATTGCTTTTCTCTGCAAGACTCAAGGGCTGAGAAGTCAATTATGAAAGGCAAAAAAAGCACATCCCCACATAGCCTTGATTTGAACCCTAGCATACCTTACCCAATGAAGGCACTGGCCTATCTCTTACCGAGCCAAGTTGTGGGTTATGTTCTCCAGAGTTGCACTATAACAGAATGCAGTGGGGTTCTTTTGTTGTTGTTTTTGTTTTGTTTTCCAATGGGAAGGGAAATCATTTAGACATGGTACAGAACTAGAAAGAACCTTAGGAATAACGTGTTCTTAGCCTCGGGTATATCTTTGAAATTATAGGTGAAATACCTGTCTGCATTTTCTGGGAGAGGGTTTTTCCTGCTTTACAACATTCTCAAAGGGATTCTTGCCTCTCAAAAAGTTAGGAGCCACTGATTTCAGCCTCTTCAGTCTCACTTGAGGAACAATTGAAATTTAGGGAGGGGAATAGACTTATCTGAGATCGCATGGTTAGAATTTAGACTTGGATCCTGGTCTCTTGACTCAACACACAGTGCTTTTTTTCTCATTATACTTTATCAGATACCTCATCATTTGTGGAGTGAGTTCTAAATGAGATGTGAGTAGGCCTTGTAATACACTTATCAGTTCTGTATTTACTTACACAGCTCCTTCTTCCCAGAATCCTAAATTATCTTCTGACAGATTTCCCAGAGCAACTATATTATTTCGCTCTCATAAAATTCAAGTGGTTTTTGGGAGCCTTTCTCCATCCAAGGATTGAGTCTGTGGGTAAAACTCCAGCTTAGCGTGTGGCCACAAATAAACGAACTCTTCTTGAACCCAAGGATTGAGTCTGTGGGTAAAACTCCAACTTAGAATGTGGCCACAAATAAACTAACTCTTCTTGAACTAGTCATTGAATTTTTTTAATGCCTTCCTTTCCCTAGGAAAAGCTATTAGTAGGTTTTCTGTTTCTTAGGCCAGTGCTAGAGAGTTAATATCAGTCTGTCAGATTACTGTTTAGACCTGAGCTGTTCAGAACCGTAGTTGCTAACCATGTGTGGTTATTTAAACCAATTACAATTAAATAAAATGAAATCAATTGAGTTCTTCAATCACACAAGCCATATTTCAGGTGCTCAATAGCCATAAGTAGCTACAGTATTGGAGCAGCACAGATGAAGAACATTTCTGTCATCACAAAAAGTGTTTTGAACAGTGCTGGTTTAGAGGGTTGTGGGTGGAGATGGGAGCAGTATAGTATAATAGAAGAAGGCTCACAGTTGGATTTTTGAACTAAAAAATCTGCCTTTCAAGTTCCTGGGTGTGGTGGCCTTGGGCAGGTCGTTAAGCATCTCAGGCAGAGATGATTCATCCTTAATAATGAACCCTTTTTGTATAGCACTATTCTCAAATGGAGTTATGTCCTTGAGCCTTATCCCTATAAGTGTGGTAAGGTGGGTGAGACATCTCTTGTTAATGTGTGAGAGAATTGAACCTAAAGCAGCTAAAGGACCTGCCCAAAGTCATACAAACTGGCAGAATGTAAAGAAACTTGCTACATAGTGGCACTTAACACGTTTGAATGAATGAGTGAATCAGTGAAGCATTTTGCTTAAGGTGATGCCATGAGGGAGTGTCCAGAACTGACTCCTGGCCAAGTATTTACCTGTTACCATATGGAATTATTGTAATGTGGGGCTAATCTTTGAGTTGAAGGATTACTGAGCATCCCATGAGTGAATAAAAGTGAAAGGGCTCTCTAAGCTAGTGATTCCAGGTTTGCCTAGTCAGAGGACTCACCAGGTGCACGTGTTAAGCACATGGATTGCCACACCCTTTAGTGATTCTGATTCAGAAGGGCTGAGGTGGAACCCTGGAATCTGAATGTTTAGTAGGTTCCCCAGGTGCTTCTTAGGATCCATCTGATGAGTTTGGCAAATGACTGAGTCTTAAGGCCCTGGCAGAGATAAGGATCATTGGATCAGGAGGCCGCTCTCCCCTTTAGGGTAGGTTCTTGAACCTTGTTTATGTTTGACTTTCCTCTAGCCATGGATGCATCATATGATGGTACTGAGGTAACTGTCGTGATGGAGGAAATTGAGGAAACCTACTGTTACACCTCCCCTGGGCCACCCAAGAAGAAGAAAAAGTATAAAATACATGGAGAAAAGGCCAAGAAACCCAGGTTAGCCAACACATTTTGATAGCTGGCATTTATAAACAGAAGCTGCTTGGAGAGCTGTGTTGAAGAAGACTTCAGCCTGTGTCCAGTTTCACTGAGAGTGCCATGTCATTTGTTGAAGTCTCCTGATGGGCAGTGGGGTTGGGGGGAGACGGTGATTGAGAGTGGGAAGTGGCCGATGGATGCCAGCAGTTGCCATTCCTGTCCAAATCTTGGTCGTGTTTCTAGGCTTTAGCAGGAAATATACATACAAATGGTGGAAGCTCGCTACAAGAGAACCACTGTATTTATTATTAATGCCATTGTTATTTAAATATTTAATTAGGACATCAATAAAAATTTGGAATTACAAATAGCGCCAATGATATCTATTAAGAATATCCAAATTGCAGCTCTAAGCTCCCCCTTAACTGTGAACACTCCAGACTTCTTGCTGAGGCTCCCAGCACTGGGTCACTTTGATAGTTCTGCTTGCTTCCCTCCCTCAGCCTTGGCGAGGTGCTGTTGACCAGTGAGATGACCAAAGGCTGTGTAGAAGAGTAGGGTGTGAGTGGTAATTAGTTCTCTAATTAACCTTTTCCTGAAAGTGGAATGACGGGACACCTTTATCTATCTTTGCCCATGTTGGGATTTAAGCCCTGCAGAAAATGTGGTCATGGAAAAGTAGACCAGACAAGCCTTTGCTTCCACATTTCTGGAGGGAGAAACCTCCCCCTGTTCACCCTTTGGGGGTGTTATTTAAATGTTTCTTTGCTTCAGTCTCTATTTAGAGAAATGCTTTTGAAATGAAAAGCTAGGTTTTGTATTTAGCTCTTCACTACTCAAACATTGTAGTATTTACTGGTTGAGCGAGGGAAAACCTTAAGAAGTCCTTGCTTCCTCAGGTCTGCTTACCTTCTGTACTATTATGACATCTACCTGAAAGTGCAGCAGGAGCTCCCCCACCTCCCTCAATCTGAGATCAATAAGAAGATTAGTGAGAGTTGGAGGCTTCTCAGTGTGGCCGAGAGGAGTTACTACTTGGAGAAAGCCAAACTAGAGAAAGAAGGTTTGGATCCTGTAAGTAATTTTTTTTTCCTCTTCTTCAGCTAATACCTCCATTGCCTTAGTGGTGAGGCTTTGGGGAGTCCAACCCCCTGTTCTCCGGTTTCCTTCTCTCTTCTTAGGAAAACTTTGAGTTGAGTCATTTTTACCTTTCTTGAGTCTGATATTGTCTGCTTCTTTTTTTTTTTTTTTTGGCTTCGCTGCGTGGGTTGGGGGATGTCAGTTCCCTGACCAGGTACCAGGTATTGAACCCAGGCCATGGCAGTGTGCCAAGTCATAAACACTGGACTGCCAGGGAACTCCCTGTCTGTTTCCATTTCGGTCATGCCCTGCACTCTCTACTCTTTGCTTGCAGCAGTACATGATCTCCAGTGAGCCTTAGGTTCCTTTTCTGAATTTTAGCAAAACTTGGAGCCACTTGTCCTTGTGGGTAGTTAGTGTTATTTTTCTTTTATAGAGTAGCTTCTACAGGCATTTTCCCTACACCATGTTTCATGTTATCTGTTGAGTGTAAGTATAATTAATTTGTGTTGTGCTCACCACTGTCAGTTATAACGTAATCAGCAATTAGGCTTGCAAGTTTAGAGGTAGACACAGCTGCTTTATTTAAGGCAACGTTCTTTTGTTACCACTGGTTACTGGTGGTATTGAACTGTGCTAGAAGGAAAAGTGGAAGGCTAAAGGTGAAATTGATGGAGGACATTGAGCCTTTGAGTGCTTGGATTAAAGAATAAGCAAGGAAGCACTTAGGTTTGTGTCTGTCAGCCATTTTGTTATTTCTAGTTCACAGGAATAAAATGGACTGACAACTGTTAACACTGCTGTTTTTTTTTTAATTTATTAATTTAATTTATTTATGGCTGTGTGGGGTCTTCGTTGCTGCGTGCAGGCTTTCTCTAGTTGTGGCGAGTGGGGGCTACTCTTCGTTGCGGTGCGCGGGCTTCTCATTGCAGTGGCTTCTCTTGTTGCAGAGCACGGGCTCTAGTCAAGTGGGCTTCGGTAGTTGTGGCACGTGGGTCTAGAGCGCAGGCTCAGTAGTTGTGGCTCCCGGGCTTCGTTGCTCTGCGGCATGTGGGATCTTCCCAGACCAGGACTCTAACCCATCCGAATTGGCATGCGGATTCTTAACCACTGTACCACCAGGGAAGCCCTGCTGTTTTTTTTTTTAACTGAAATTCCTGCAGGAAAAATAACCTTGTTATTGCAAGCTGAAACCTTTTAACCTTAACTCCTTTTTTTTTTTCAATTGAAACAATTGTCTCTAACTTCTTTTTTTATAATGAAGAGGAAAGGTTCTTCAGGAATGCAACAGCTATGTTATAGCAGAATGGGTTGTATTTCCTTTAGTGGAGCCCATCTGCCACTGATTATGCCATTTAGATTATTTTGTCCTTGTTGGCTTGGCATTTACCTTCTTGGAAGAGCTTTGTGTTACGTACAGTCTTGGAGATGCCACTCTGTACTTCTCCTCTAGATGATTTGTTTGTAAACTGTGAGTCTAGGAAACAATCCCTGTGGAGAGGGGGAGGCGGAGTCAAGGAAAGGTACACATATTTTTTTTGGTTTCTCCATTATAAGGTCACAAACTTTTTGCCCATGATATAAGAAAATTTTACCTAATCTTGGAGTGATATGGTTTTTAAAACCAGACACTAATATAGGTCCTTATTAAGGCTTTTTTAAAAAAAATTAAGTAGATCATCTACAATGATTTTTCCTTATCCATATGTAAATTTATATCTACCATCATCTCTACCAATACCCCCAAGATCATTAATAGACTAGCTCTAATATTAACTAGCTGTAACCTTGGAAGAATCACTTAACCTTTGAGTCCTGCTTTCCTCATTTGTAAAATGGGGATAATAGTATCTATTCACAATGTTTAAAATGGACAATGTAAAACACCTAGCTGAGTTCTGACTTGGTGAGTAAATAACACTCTTTAGTAGATTAAATGTCCAGTGACCATATAATAAGAAAAGGTGGCATTTAATGAGCATCTGGAGTGTACCAAGACAGGCTTTATATGCTGTTTGACCTCTCCCTGATTACCTGGTGTACAGGTGGGACCCTCTTGCCTGCATACTTAGGGAGCCTGTCAGAGACCTTGGGGCAGGCTGTCTCCCTGGCAGCCCTTCAGGTCTCCTGCCAAGTGGCTGGGCCCATGGTTCCAGTGTCATTCCTTACAGCCTGTAAGATGACTGCCATTCATGCTGCCCTGGTTTCTTGTGCTTGGATTTGTTGATTAAGTCCAGACCAACCTATGTATTTGCCACCATTTAGTCTTGTTCTCTTGACCTGTCTGCTTCAAAGTGTGACTTGAGAATATCATTTCTTCATTATCTCTCCAGTAAAGGCTCCATAAAGGATTTGGACAGTCTGCTTTCATGTTTCATCTCAGTGCTTCTTTTAACTTTCATCTCTGAGTGCTTCCTTTGTACCCTAAGTAGTCTCATTGACTTCTTGCTTTTGATTTATTTAAGGATCCTTTTGTAATTGACTTAGTTCCTTTTAAATGATGCTTCTGAAATTATTTTTTGGTCTGTTTAATTTCAGTTCTCACTTATCTGTTCATTTTGAACTTTTCTGTCTTCCTCATTGGGTAGCTTTCAGTTTAAATTGAAAAAAATAAAAGCACCTTTTTCTTGGTGCCAGTTAGCCATGCAGGGCTGTGCTTCTAGTACCTGGTCTCCTTGCTCCTTAGAAGACCTGGCCTGGAGTCCCACCTTTACTACTTACTAATTATGTGTTTTGGGAAAGTTTATCCTCCTTGAGCTTCAGTGCCCTCATTTGTGAAGTGGGAATAATAATAGTACCTAACTTAGTAGTATTGCTTTAAAAGTCAGGAAATTATTTTCTGAACCTTAAGATCCTAGGTCATTGTTAATATTTATATTCTTCTCCCTCCCCATCACCTCCCAATATATTCAGTGCTTATCAGATAACCACTTCCCTATACACATTCTCTCGTGAAGCCTTCTTATTGATTGATAGCTTTGTGATCTGTTCATTCTCTTCTTTGCAAGTCTGGAAGAAGCCAGTGATATCAGAATCCTTGCTTGCTGCCCTGAGATCCAACATGGCCTGTTGGTTTGTATTTGATGCTTCTAAAGGTTTCACTGAGCATTATACATTCTGGTATCTAAATCTTCAGCTACTTTGGAATCCTAAAGTATCAAAGCTGGAAAGGAACTCATAGATAGCTAGATTCAGCTCCCTCATTTTACAGATGGGGCAGCAAGGCCAAAAAAACGGGAAAGGATTTGTTTAAGACTATGCCAGACCTGGGATTTCAGCTCACAGTTTAAGATGCCAAGATCAGTGCCCTTTCTGGAATCTAATCCACGTTCTCTGTCTCCTATGTGATTGAGTAAGTTACATTGGCTAAAGTGTGATTCAGCTGAAGATGACATTGCTATTGGCAGAGGCTGACCCTGTCTAAGTCTTAGGTCAAGAGAATGGAGTCTTTCTGGTTCCTTTGCAGAAAAAAATGAAGAAAAAAAAGGCTTATAAGTATATATCTATGTGGTCTTATTCCATTTATCTCTGCTTGTCTCCCCGACCTGGCTTTTTCATCCTCAGAACTCTAAACTCTCTGCACTGACCGCTGTGGTTCCGGACATCCCAGGTTTCCGCAAGATCCTCCCTCGCTCAGATTATATCATCATCCCCAAGAGCAGCCTGCAGGAGGAGCGGAGCTGTTCTCAGCTAGAGCTGTGTGTGGCCCAGAACCAAATGTCCCCTAGAGGACCATCCCTTGTGTCCAACACTGCCCTGGAGACAGTGCCCAGCCATGCAGGCATGGCAGAACAATGTCTGGCTGTGGAGGCCTTAGCTGAGGATGTGGGAGCCCTTGCCCAGCCAGGTGCTGTACAGGAGATCACCACCTCAGAGATCCTCGGCCCGGATGTGCTCCTAAATGAGGCTTCCCTGGAGGTAGGGGAGAGCCACCAACCTTACCAGACAAGCCTGGTAATTGAAGAGACCTTAGTGAACAGCTCACCAGACCTCCCCACTGGAAGCCTGGCTGTGCCCCACCCCCAGGTTGGGGAGAGCATGTCCGTGGTAACAGTCATGAGGGTAAGTGACTTTGGTTCTGATGATTTTGCTTTACCTGGGATTGTTAAAAAGGCAGCTAGCACCATGCAGGGTGATTCTGAAATAGTGGTAAGTAAGAATACTGGTGTGGCACTTCTAGTTGGACTGCAGTTCTCTTGAACCTTTTTGTCCCCAGGCTTGGTCCAAGTCCCCAGGCTTCAGTTTCTTAGGCACTCTCACCAACTCCTCTTGCCCAGTATAGCCAACATTTTCTTCACATGAGATAAGGTACGTTAACAGGAGGGATGGGGATGATATTTGGGCTGTCCATGAGTCAGAGCCAGGATCTGTTTGGCTATTAGTATTAGTTAGAATTTTATGTTCCCTTAAGATTGTTTCAGCAAACACAATGGCACCTTGAACTGTTCAGGAGAATTTTTTTAAATAGTCTTGTTGGGCACAGAGTAAGTAGGAAGAAGGAAGTTCTCTTCAGGGCCAGGTTGATGGGACTAATAGCTGAGAAAGAAGAGGGAGGTATCTCCCCAGTGGCTTTTCTGTCATGCCCAGTTGAGGAGAAAGAACAGTGATTTCCGTGATTCCACAGCCTGGTCCCCTGGAAGTGGAGAGTTGGGGAGCTGCCACCATGCTATTACTCCGGGTGCGATGGCATCCTCAAAGAGGTAGCTGTTCTGCTTAGGCTAAGAGGACCAGCATGCAGCGGCCCCTATGGCCTAGATGGATGCGAGCAGATAGCCCTGCAGAGGATTCTGTGCCAGGCGTAAATCTGTTTTATTACTTGTTGCCGCAGTGCTGTTTATGATGATGAAGCATGCCACTAGTTAAGGCAGATTAATAGGTCGCTAAGAACATTTGACAGGGTCAGAAGAATTGGGTTCTTTCACTAACTGCTTATGTGATCTAGGAGTTCTGAGTCTCTTCAGAACCTCAGTTTTCTTATCTGTAAAATGAGGATAGCACATTCCTTGTGGTACTGGTTTTCTCTGTCTCTGTTTGTTCTTAATTAAACTTTTATTTTGAGATAATTATAGATTCATTCATTTTTTTGATGTGCCCGTTGGATAAGCAGATTATGTATGGTTATTGGACTTGATTGGTCTTCAGTGTTGTGGATGGTCCTGGGTGTTCTTCACTCCATCTCAATAAAACTTTCTTCTCTCCATGTACCTACAGGATTCCAGTGAGATTAGCTCCTCTGCGCCAGCTGCACAATTCATCATGTTGCCTCTTCCTGCCTACTCGGTTGTGGAGAACCCCACCTCCATCAAACTGGTCAGTGTGTGGGGAGTTCAAGGAGATTAAGGCTCCATAAGAATTCTCTTCCAGGTAGTTTTCTAAAAGTCTTAACAAACTTAGGACATTGGGACTGGCAAAGATCTCAGAGGTTTTTCTGGTTCAGGTATTCTTAACTGGGGGTGAGGGAGTGGGGGAGGGTCTGTGAATGGACCTCCACAGGAACCTCCTCAAGGAGGTCCAGTTCATTGGACCTCCATGAACTCCTCAAGTTACATACAAACTTTTCTCCTTGAGAGAGTATTTTCCTGGGATAGGTTCCATGGCTTTTATCAAAATTTCTGAAGCAGGGCTTCCCTGGTGGCGCAGTGGTTGAGAGTCCGCCTGCCGTTGCAGGGGACACGGGTTCGTGCCCTGGTCTGGGAAGATCCCACATGCCGTGGAGCGGCTGGGCCCGTGAGCCATGGCCGCTGAGCCTGCGCGTCCAGAGCCTGTGCTCCGCAACGGAAGAGGCCACAGTGGTGAGAGGCCCGGGTACCGCAAAAAAAATATATAAATAAAATAAAATTTCTGAAGCATACGTGTTTTAGAAAAATTGAGGGATCACTGATCTAATTCAATCCTGTTGTTGTGCAGGTTAGGAAAAAGGTCCAGAGAAGAGAAAGGACTTTTTCTCTCTCTGATTCAAGGCCACTGGGCTGCAAAACAAGGCAGAACGAGGACCCTGGGTCTTTTGATTCTCAAATGTTTTTTCTATCACACACTGCAGCATGTGGGCTGAGATTTATTCTTAAATATCTCATGTTTCTTTATGATATTGTAAATGGTATTTTATTTTTAAAAAAATATTTATCTATTTGGCTGCATTGGGTCTTAGTTGCGGCATGCAGGATCTTTCATTGCAGCACGTGGGCTTCTGTCTAGTACGTGGGCTCTCTAGTTGTGGCCAGTGGGCTCTAGAGTGCCCGGGCTTAGTTGCCCCACGGCATGTGGGATCTTAGTTCCCCGACCAGGGATCGAACCCACGTTCCCTGCATTGTAAGGGGGATTCTTAACCACTGGACCACTAGGGAAGTCCCTGTAAATGGTATTTTAAAACTATTTTCAATTTCTAATAGTTCACTGCTAGTATATAGTAATACAATTGATTTTTTTCTTATTAAACTTGTGTGCTGCAACTTTGCTAATAAACTCATGTATTCTGCTAGCCTTTTCGTAGATTCTATTGCATTTTTAACATAGATGGCAGTGTTGTCTAATAGTTTCATTTCTTCTTTTCTGATATGGATTCCTTATTTCTTTTTCTTGTCTTATGGTTTTGTTGAGGACCAGTACAGTGTTGAATAGAAGTGGTTAGAGCCGATATCTGTGTTTTATGCGTCGTCTTAGGGGGAAGGTATTCAGTCTTTCATCATTAGGTTTAATATTGGCTGTAGGTTTTTCAGAGATACCCTTATCATGTTTAGGAAGTTACTTTTGCTGGGAGCTTCTATCAGGAATGGATGTTGGATTTTTCAAATTTTTTGTGTGTCTTTTGAGATGGTGGATTTTGTCAAAATTTTTCGTGTGTTCTTTTTTCTTTTTTAGTTTGTTAATGTGATTAATATGATTTTTCAAATGTTAAATCAACTCTGTGTTCCTGGGATAAACTCCACTTGGCAATGATGTATTATCCTTTTAATATATTATTGGATTTGATTTGATAACATTTTGTTCAGAATTTCTGTATCTATATTCACGAGGGATATTATTGGTCTCTAATTTTCTTGTACAGTGTTTGTCTTGTTTTAGTATCAAGGTAGTGCTTACCTCATGGAATGAGTTGTGAAATATTTTCTGCTTTTCCAATTGTTTTTGGAAGAGTTTTGTGTAGTACTGGCATTATTTCTTCCTTAAATGTTTGGTTAGAATTACCAGTGAACTTATCTGGGCCTGGAGATTTCTTTGTGGGAAAGTTTATAATGGCAAGTACGATTTTTAAAATATATATAGGACTATTCAGATTATCTATTTTTGAGTGAGCTTTGATAGTTTGTCTTTCAGGGAATTTGTCCATTTCATCTGAATTGTCAAATTTATTGACATAAAATTGTTCAAAACATTCCCTTATTCTTCTTTTAAAAAGCTGTGGTAAAATATACATAACATGAAGTTTACCATTTTAATCAATTTTAAGTGTACAATTCAAGTGCTGTTAAATATATTTACAATGTTGTGCAATCATTACCATTATCCATTTTCAGAACTTTTTCGTCTTCCCAAACAGAAACTCTGTATCTATTAAACAGTTACTCCCCATTCCCCACCCTACCTGTTTCCACCCCAAGCCCTGGTAATTGCTATTTTACTTTCTGTCTTAGTATTTGTGTGTTCTAGGTACCTCAAATAAGTGGAATCATGCAAATATTTCCTTTTTGGTCTGACTTTTTCACTTAGCATAATGTTTTCAGGTTCATCTATCTTGTAGCATGTATCAGAATTTCATTCCTTTTTATGGCTGAATAATATTCCATTGCATGTGTATACTATATTTTTTTTATCTATTCATAAACATTGATGGACATTTGGTGTGTTTCTACCTTTTGACTGTTGTGAACAGTGCTACTATCAGCTTTGGTGTACAAATGTCTGAGTCCCTGCTTTCAGTTCTTTTGGGTATATACCTCAAGAGTACAATTGCTGGATCATGTGGTAATTCTATGTTTAAAGTTTTGTGGAATTTTTATCCTTTTAATATCTATAGAATTTGTAGTGAGTTTACTTCTCCATTACTGATACTGGTAATTTGGGTCTTCTTTCTTTTTTCCTGATAAGCTTGGCTAGAGGTTACTGATTTTATTGCTCTCAGAGAACAAGGTTTTGGTTTCATTGATTTTCTCTGTTGTTTTTCTGCTTTCTGTTTCACTCATTTCTATCATTCTTCTGCTTACTTTGGGTTTAGTTTGGTATTTTCTAGTTTCTTAGGGTAGAAGCTGAGGTCATTGATTTGAGAGCTTCTCTTGTAATATAGCTGCTTAGTGCTTCATTTCCCTCTAAGCACTGCTTTAGTGGCATCCCCCCCCAAATTTTTTTTTAATAAATTTATTTTATTTATTTATTTTTGGTTGTATTGGGTCTTTGTTGCTGCGTGGGGCTTTCTCTAGTTGCAGGGAGCAGGGGCTACTCTTCACTGTGGTGCGCAGACTTCTCATTGCAGTGGCTTCCCTTGTTGCGGAGCACAGGCTCTAGGTGTGCGGGTTTCAGTAGTTGTGGCACACAGGCTCAGTAGTTGTGGCTTGTGACTCTAGAGTGCAGGCTGAGCAGTTGTGGCTCATGGGCTTAGTTGCTCGGCAGCATGTGGGATCTTCCCGGACCAGGGCTTGAACCTGTGTCCCCTGCATTGGCAGGCAAATTCTTAACCACTGTGCCACTAGGGAAGCCCATCCCACAAATTTTGATATGGTGCAGTTTTCATTTTCATTCAGTTCAAAGTATTTTCTAACTTACTTCTTTAACCCATGAGTTACTTAATTATTTTCCAGATATTTGGGATTTTCCAGGTGTCTGTCTTTATCAATTTCTGATTTGATTCCATTGTGGTTAGAACTTTGTATTTTATAAGGCCTGAATCCTTTTAAATTGATTGCAGTTTATTTTATGGCTCAGAATATGGATTGTCTTGATAAATGTTCTATGTGCACTTGAAAAGAATATGTATTCCTGCTGTTGGGTGGAGTGTTCTATACATTTCAGATTAGGTTGAGTTGATTGATAGTGTTCCTTATTGATTTTGTATCCTTCCTGATTTTCTGTCTACTGTTTCTGTCAATTATTGAGAGAAAGCATCCATCTGTCATTGTAGATTTATCTGTTTCTTTTTGCAGTTCTATTAGTTTTTGTGTCATGTATTTTGACTGTTACTAAGTACACAAACATTTAGGATTGTTACGTCTTCTGGATAAACTGAATGCTTCTTCATTATGAAATGAACTTTATCTCTGGCAGTATTCTTGCCTATGAAATCTACTTAGTTCTGATATCAACCTTTCTTTTGATTATTGTTATTAGCAAGGTATATCTTTTTCCATCCTTTGACCTGTTTGTACCTTTGTATTTCTACCGTACCTTTTTTGGTAGGCAGCATATAGTTTGGCTCTAAGAGCAAGACCTATCTGATGATCTCTGCCTTTTAATTATAGTATTTAGGCTGTATGTATTTAATGTGATTATTAATGTGGTTTGGTTTAAATCAGTCCTCTTACTATTTGTTGTTATTGTTTTGGTCCTATCTGTTTTGTTGTACTTTCTTTTGAAATAATTAAGTATATTTTATGAATCCATTCTATCTCCTTTGTTGGCCTATGAGCTATTAACTTTGTCTTGGTTATTGTATTGGCTTCTTTTAGGATTAATAATACATAGCTTTAACTTGTCACAATCTGTCTTATCCTCTAAAACCCCTGCTGTGGATAAACAATACTTTCTTCAATAAGAAAGTTGTAATAAACTAATTATTTTTCCTGAGCCTTTCCTGTTCCGGAACTTTGTATTCTTTCATGGTTTAATAAGTGTCAGCCAAGCTCTTCTAGAAATACTTAAGAAGGCAGCATCAGCCTTGAATGCTAGCATTATTTCCTGAAGTCATTTCTATAAGTTGCTGTTCAGGAGTATTTCCAAATTCATGGTAATTTATTTATAGCACTAACTTTGCTCTGAGGGTGTATTCAGAATGAATATTCCATGTGGGGCCACAGTCTGAGAAAAGATAAGATATAATGTTTTACCCATTAATAATAGTCTCACAGACTTTTTACTCCTCAGGATATATCCATTAAGCAGAAAGGGCAGGTGATTTTGCAGAAGAGGAAACCAAGGGCCCAAGAGCTAAGATGACTTACCCCCAGCTCATTCAGTATGTCAGTGACAAAATTGGAACCCAAACCCTGGTCTCTTTCCTTGGTGCCACACAACTTCACACTCATCTTTGACCTGCTATCACTGTCATAATCACCTTTTCCTTAGGTGTTCTGGCCAGAGGTAGCCTAGAGGCAGCTTGGTGTTTCCCAAGGGAAGTTTTTGCTTTCTGGCCAGGCTAGGGAGGTTGGGATTAGTAGCTGAGTAAACCATAAGCGACAGAACAAATCTGACAGGGAAGTGTTTTCTTTCCAGCATTAATCAAGAAATGGAGTGTGGCTAATTTCTATTTGTAGCTGAAATGTAATACATTCTGTTCAAAGGGAAATCATCGGAGATGGTGCAAGCCAGTGACTGAATATATTTGTACGCAGATGATCAAATTCTGTGGAGTGTCAGAGGACCTGGTTTCAACTGGAGTTCCCTCTCATTATTTTAGCGACTGGACTGTTTTTTTTTTAGATCTTTGAACCGTAGGTCCTAGGTTCTCTGATTTTTAACTAACAAGAATGAAGAAGCAAATTCTTTGAAGTATTGAGAGCCAGAGGGTGCAGCAGGATGCATGGAAGCAATCTTGACCAGGAATCAATAAGATCTGTCTTCTAGGTCTAGCTCTGTCCTTGAGTCACTACATGATTTGAGGCAAAGCATTTAACTACTCTGAACCTCAGTAGTAATAATACTTCATAGCATTGCTGAGAACATTAAATGAGATATTGGTAGAGTGTTTAGCACTGTGTGGTACTTTGCTTAATTAATTGCAACTCTTCTTACCTTTATACTTCTGGTACCTAACTCTGTAACCTTGGGCAGCTGTCTTTCTTCATTTGAATTCACTTTCTCCATTTCTAAAAACTGAACTAGTTAGTTGTATCTTAGGACCTTTCCAACTCTGACCTTTTAAGATACCATGAATTGGCTAACCTTCTGCAAGCTGGTATCCTCCTGGCATTGTTGTGGTTATAATGGTCATCAGGATCTGACAGAGATTAGACTGTGGTGTTGATTCTGACTTGCTCTTTTTTATTTGTTTTTTAAACACAGACTACTACGTACACCCGACGGGGCCATGGGACATGCACCAGCCCAGGCTGCTCCTTCACGTATGTCACGAGGCACAAACCACCTAAGTGCCCTACCTGTGGTAACTTCCTAGGAGGGAAGTGGATCCCAAAGGTAAAGTTCATTGGCCATCACTGCTTTGGAAACCCCACAAAGTAGGCTTATTATTCCCTTTAAGAACAGATGACTTAAATTAACATTCATTTAATTTTCTGACGACACAAATAAGTCAGTTTCTTTCTTTTTAAAAAGAAAGAATAAAATGTTATCCGTAATCTCATACCATCCAAAGAAAAGCTATTGTTAAGATTTCAGTATATTTTCTTCCAGTCTTTTTCTGTGGATATACAAGTTCTGTATCTTGCCTTTTTTTCCTTTAACGTATCATGCCATTAAATATTCTTCAAAAACATTATTTTTAATTGCTTCATAGTTTTCCATGAATGACTACACCATGTTAAATCATTCATTTCTTGTTAGGGTTACATTTTTTTTTTTTTTGCGTTACGCGGGCCTCTCACTGTTGTGGCCTCTCCCGTTGCGGAGCACAGGCTCCGGACGCGCAGGCTCAGCGGCCATGGCTCACGGGCCCAGCCGCTCCGCGGCATGTGGGATCTTCCCGGACCGGGGCACGAACCTGTGTCCCCTGCATCGGCAGGCGGACTCTCAACCACTGCGCCACCAGGGAAGCCCAGGGTTACATTTTTAACAATCCACCCTCCACACTGACTGCTTAGCTATTCACACGCACAGCGCACATCTCATTCCCTAGCTCAGAGTCCTTTTAGTTTCATATAGTTCCTATTAAAAGTGGAGGTCTTTAACCCGATATTCAGGTCTCCCATAGCTTAACGTTCCAGATGTATACCTCTATCTCCAAATAAATGATGCTCAGTAAATAAATGAGCGTTAGAGCTGAGCCCCTGTGACGTTCAGTTCAGCACATGTTCGTTACCTGTTGTATGCTGACTACATGAATCATACATACTTGCCACATTTTTGATATAAATTATTTAGGGACAAAAGGACTAGAATAGTCAGGTGGTTTTATAGAGGAGATGGTTTGGAAACATCAGTAGAATTTGGGTAGATAGAAGAGGAAAGAATGCGTTGTTTTTGTGAAAGTAGCTTAGGTTAGGATTGTGTTCGTCATGTGTTTGACTCATGGTCCAAACTCAGTTCTGTAGAGAAAACTTAAATAGCAGCATACTTAAGTTCCTTTGGGCGGTTTCCACAGAACAACTCTCAGAAAATTACTGGATGGTGACTTTTGCCCTCTGGCTGAGTGTTGGAGTTCAGGATAGCACCGATTTCGGAGGCAGAATAGGTTAATAATTAAGAATACAATTCTGGAGTCAGCTTCCTCAGTTCAAACCCTACTTCCCAAGTATTTAGCTTTGTAACCCTGGGCAAGTCATTTTATGTCTCTGTTCTTGATTTAGGCTTCCTTTCATTTGTAAATGGAGTTAACAATAGTGCCTACCTCATTAGGGTTATTGGAGGGGTCAGATGAAATGATCCATGCGAAGTGGATGGCACATTCCTAGTGTATTAAATATTCAATCCTCAGTAGCGCTTCACTGCTTCCATTGTTGGCAGCAATATAATTAATATTAACAGCAACAGTAGAGACAATTAACATTTCAAGGGGCAGGAAGTACCTAGGGCCTTGTGGAGTTTTTAGTGTGCACTGTGAAGCCATTTCGTTTATTCCTACCCTAATTATTCTCCCAAAATATACTTCCCCAGCTGCAGTAGGAAGATTGAATTGGATAGTTGTTGGACTCCTCCTTGGTCCTTCTTCACTGATGCACAGCAGGTCTGTCAAATGACCTTATTTCCTGTGCTTTTGCATGAAAGAGTGTAACCGATCCTGTGCCTAGTCTGCTTCAGATTCTGTTTTTACTTTGGTTTTCTTTCCTTTTTCATTTTGTCTTTTTTCCCCCTTTGATTGAATAACTTTTGAGCCATTCTCTTTTTGAGATCAAACTCATGACATGAAAACAATTTTTTTCTTAGCTACTTGTCCTGTCTTTACTTGCTAAGTCAGAATATTCTTCCCAAAGGTTTTTGCAAGAATTACCATGTAAAGAGCAGATACTGTGATTTCTAAATCTCATAGGAACAGAATACCTGAGTGTGAGAAGAAAAATGTAACAATGTAGCATCAATGCACTTAAAATTTTTAGAGATAAAGGTGACGTTGGTTATCAGCTAGCTCAACTCCCAAATTTCCAGCTAAGGAAAAAGAGATTCAGGAGAAGTGACTGGTTACATTCACATTGCTAATTATGCTGTCGCCTTTTCCACTAAACCATACTTCTCAGGCATTGCTGTGCTGTTTACCTGCAGAATCTTAAGATTTCCTGAGTTCTGATTTTTGAAAGAGCAATTATAAATAGTTTCTAAACGCTCCAAATGTGTCCATGCCAGTCAGGAAATGACTCACCTTTTCTTATATTGTTCTGGAGTTCATACTGGCTAAAATTAGCCCAAGAAACGTGGCACAGTTCCCAGTGAGTTGGATGGAACAAAAGATGGTATATAAGGCTCAAGGTATGGTATATAGCTCAAGGCCTCATTACTGTGGGCTCTCTGATAGCAGTAATTGAGGTCTCTGGTCGAGGAACTGGTAGTATTTGCCTTCCATCTTGAAAGAAAGTGACATCTAAAAAGGGTAGGCTGAGTTAAGGAAATGTGAGATCACCAGCTGGAGTTTTTTGCTCTGATTGCTTAAATATCCAGTCTTCCTGCAAAGAATTTTTGTCTATAGCCTACTTAGTGGGCAGTGTTCTGCTCAAAGTTCTCATCTCAGGGGTTTAGTTTATCTTGTCTCCTGTTTTTCTGCTGACTCTTCCTTCTTTAGCAGTCAGTAAGCTCAGTACAGTTACTTGGAATTTTTCTTGTCCTCATGGTTTGTAATTGTGTGTTAGAATCTGAGAATGCTTTACTGAAGATTTCTTAAGGTCGTCTATATTGATTCTTAACCAGAGGCACCGTGTTGCCCAGAGGGACTTCTGAAATGTAAGGGGTTTTTGATAGTCAGTGACTGGGAGATAATACTGAAATTTAATGGCATTGGGCACAGATGCTGAATTTCCTGTGAAGTGTAGGGGGTCCTGCCCCTCCACCATGAAGAGCTGGGCCACCCAAAAGGCTATCTTGCTGCTGTTGACAAACACAGAGCTCTCTTATTCCATAATGGGAAAATGAGGAATCAGATGAAGCTTGCCTTAAGTGACATAAGCAATTAGGTTGAAGCAGAGCCAAGACAGAGTGCAGCTTTTGTGTTTTGTCTCCTAGTTTATAGTGCCTTTCACTATTCACGTGGAAGGAAAAAACCTTTGAGACCTACCACAGAGATGAACACTGTTAATTTTTGGTTTTTTTTTTGGCCGTGTTGGGTCTTCGTTGCTACGTGCAGTCTTTCTCTAGTTGCGGTGAGCGGGGGCTACTCTTCGTTGCAGTGCGCGGGCTTCTTATTGTGGTGGCTTCTCTTGTTGTGGAGTACGGGCTCTAGGCACGCGGGCTTCAGTAGTTGCAGCATGTGGGCTCAGTAGTTGTGGCATGGGGGCCCTAGAGCCCGTGGGCTCTAGCGTGCAAGCTTAGTAGTTGTGGCCCTCGGGCTTAGTTGCTCCGTGGCATGTGGGATCTTCCCAGACCAGGGATTGAACCCGTGTCCCCTGCATTGGCAGGCGGATTCCTAACCACTGCACCACCAGGGAAGTCCACTGTTAAATTTTTTTAAGTGTTCGTGTGTACATATATGTATGTAAACCTCGGGTCTGTCTGAGATAGCAGCAGCTGGTATTTTTAGTGAGTCGGAACCTTTTCTAGCATGTAATTAACGTGTGTGATCTGATTTAACCCAGTGAGAAGGTTGTGGTGTATGTGTAAATCAGCCTTACGCTGACTTTTAGGACTCAACCTGAAAAAATCTGGGAAAAAGATGAGAGTTTTCCCCAGTGGAGTTGCAAGCATTCAGTCTTTGCGACATTGTGACCACATTGTGATTAAGTGAGTCTCATAAAGGGACCACCAAGATAAACAACCTAATACTTCTAGGCCCAATATGGCAGTATATCAGCCTCTTTGTAGACATAAAGGAGAGGGCCTTGAACAATCAAAGGTCGAGGTAAAACAATGTCAGCATTTGTTCGCTGAAACCTGAAGAAACATGTCGTTAAGAAATTTATTAGAATAGGCTTATCCTAACTCGGACATTGAGTGCAGTGGTGAAAGGGAACTGGAATCAGAAGAGTTAGGTTCAGGCCAGTTTTATACTTGGGACCTGAAGTCAGCCTCTTCCTTTCTCAGCCTCAGCTTCTTATATGTTGCTCATACATTATTGTTACAAGGGTCAAATGAGAGAATATTTGTAAATGTGTTGTCAACTGTAAAATGCTATATGCATGAAAGGTTTTCTTTTTTTTCTAGGAAAAGCCAGCCAAAGTCAAAGTGGAATTGACTTCTGGAGTCTCCTCCAAAGGCTCTGTGGTTAAAAGAAATCAGCAGCCTCTCACCTCCGAGCAAAATTCTGCTAAGGAAAACTCTTCCAAACTGACTCTGGAGAACTCAGAAGCTGTAAGCCAGCTCCTAAGTATAGCTCCTCAAAGAGACGTGGGTGAGGAGAATGAGTGGGAGGAAGTGATCATCTCAGATGCCCATGTTTTGGTCAAGGAAACTCCTGGGAATCGTGGTACAGCAGTCATTAAGAAGCCAGTGGTCAAGAGTGGTGTGCAGCGTGAGGTCTCTCTGGGGACAACTGAGAATGACAGTCCTGGACTAGACGTGCCACCACCAGCTGAGGGGACCAGCACCTCCAATTCACTCCCTGCTCCTAAAAAGCCTACAGGGTAACCCAATGTGTTTATTTTTTTCCCCCTATTTTTAAAAACATTTATATATTTATTTATTTATTATTTTTTTGGCTGCGTCAGATCTTAGTTGCGGCACATTGGGATCTTCTGTTGCAGCGTGTGGGCTCTTCGTTGCTGTGAGCTGGCTTCTTTCTAGTTGTGGCGCGTGAGCTCCAGAGCGTGCAGGCTCAGTAGTTGCAGCATGCGAGCTCTCTAGTTGTGGTGCGCAGGCTCCAGAGCACGTGGGCTCTGCAGTTGTGGCATGCGGGCTCTGTAGTTGTGGTGCGTGAGCTTAGTTGCCCCGCGGCATGTGGCAATCTTAGTTCCCTGACCAGGGATCGAACCAGCGTCCCCTGCATTGCAAGACGGATTCTTAACCACTGGACCACCAGGGAAGTCCCCCAATGTGTTTATATATTACAGCATTGTGTTTAGAACAGCAGCTTGCGTAGTGCCCTGTGTTTATTTTGTCCCATATCCTTACAGCATTCCTGAGAGAGATAGCAGAGCCCAATTCATGGTTTGTATTTTAGAGATACAGAAGCTGAGGCCTAGAGACATTTATTTGCCTGTCCTCCTACACTCTGCTGTTTATTCACTGCTGTCCCGTCCCTTATACATCTCTTCTTGTCAGTCTCCCTAAAGCAGTTATTACAGAGTCTTGTTGGTACAGGCTGTGGGCAATGTTACAAACCTAGTATCCAATTCTGGATATTGCATTTGAAAAGAGAAGCCTTATTAGGGCATCTTTATATAATAAAGATTCCTGTCCTGGTGGTCAGAGAACTAAATTCTGGTTGTGACTCTGTCCAGGGCTTCTGTTTGACCGTGGGCATAGTCACTTCATACCCATTTTCCCCTCTGAAAACTCTTGAGTTGGGTGTTATAAAAAAGAATCGTATCCTCAATGGCTGACCACACAGCCTGAAAAAGGTTGTGTGTAAAGCTTGCAGCCCAGTGCCTTGCAGATAGGAGAGGTCTGTAAGTGTGGGCTGTTTTTCCTCCCTTCCTTGAAGGCTTTCTCACCTTAGAGGCTTGACTGAATTCTCCATGTATGTAGCTCCTTTACAGAGGCAGCTATGGTCTTAAAATGGAAGGCTCTTTTTTGTTTATATCATTGGTTCTCAAAGGGGAGCAGTACCCCAGGGGACATTGTGGCAATGTTTGGAGACATGTTTGGTTGATACCACTGGGGAGGGAGTGCTACTGTCATCAAGTGGGTAGAGGCCACAGGATGCTGCTAAACATCCTACAATGCACAGGACAGCCTCTTGCAACAGAGAATTATTTGGCCCAAAATGTTAGTAGTGCCAAGGTTTAGAAATTCTGGTTTATATTATTACGAGTAAAAAAACTTTTATTGTTGAATAGAAAATATATTCACATAGTTCAGGCTGAAAAAGTGTAAGGAATATATACTGAAACAAATCTCCTTTCAGTCCCGTTCTTGGGTGCTCCATTCCCATTTCCCAGAGACAATATTCCCAACTTTCTGTGTTTGGGGGGATAATTTTAAGTATATGCAAACAAATAGGAGTGTATGTGTGTTTATAATTAATATCGTTAAATTTTAGAAGTCAAGATGTCGAAGTATGTATGTCACGCTACCATTTGTGTAAAGAAAGGTAGGGAAAAAATACATGTGTGTACACACACATATATATATACATGTACATAGTTGACTCTTGAATAGACATGGACTTGAACTGCGTGGGTCCACTTACACGTGGATTTTTTTCAGTATGTATGTACTACAGTACTACATGGTGTGCAGTTGGTTGAATCTGCCAGATGTGGAACCCTGGATATGGAGGGCTGTGAAGTTATCAGTGGACTTTTGACTCTGTGGGGGTCAGTGCCCCTAATACGTGCTGTTCAAGGTCAGCTGTGTGTGTGCGTGTGTGTGTGATATATATTTTTCCCCCCACCTTTCTTTTTTTTTTTTTTTTTTGCAGTACATGGGCCTCTCCCATTGCGGAGCACAGGCTCCAGACGCGCAGGCTCAGCGGCCATGGGTCACAGGCCCAGCCGCTCCGCGGCATGTAGGATCTTCCCAGACCGGGGCATGAACCGGCGTCCCCCGCATCGGCAGGCAGACTCCCAACCACTGCGCCACCAGGGAAGCCCCCCCCACCTTTCTTTACACAAATGGTAGCATAACATACATACTTTGACATCTTGTCTTTTAAAATTTAACAGTATACTTTGAGATGGTTCCGTGTTCTTAGAGAATGAAGCTGTGCACTTTGGGGCAGGTGAAGCACTTTAGCAAATGTGTATTGAGGCCTTCTATGGGCAGACTTTATGCTCAACACTGGAGCTACAAAGATGAAGAAAACATGAACCTTGTTCCCCAGGGTCTCTCAGCCGCCCTCATGTGGGAGACTGATACACTTTAAATACTTGGGCTGATTAGAGGCAGATTAGATGTTATAACTACAGTAGCTATTGATATCCCTCACTGTAGGCACTGTTTTGCACTTTTTTATCTTTATAATGACCCCATGAAGTACATGTAATTGCATATTACAAACGAGGTAAACAGAAGAGTAAGATTTCTTGCCCAGGGTTACACAGCTATTTAATGGTTTAATTAATGTCTAAAGCCTGACAGTTTAACCAGGACATTATTCTAATAAAGTGATATCTGAAGATTGCACTTCGGTTTTCTTCCCCCTGGTCTGGAATTTCTAGGAGAGCTCCCTTCTTGTTTTTTTTCAGAGTTGACGTGCTTATTCCTGTGCCCAGAGCCCCAGAGCTTAAAGGCAGAGCACGGGGCAAGCCCTCGTTACTGGCTGCAGCAAGACCCATGAGAGCAATTCTTCCAGCCCCAGCTAACGTGGGTCGAGGCAGCAGCATGGGACTGCCCAGGGCCAGGCAGGCCTTTCCCCTGAGTGGTAAGGTCTGGGACAGACTCGGGAGGAGGGACTCTCTAAAGGGAAGGGGACAGGAGTGGGGGTTGAGCATGGAGATGAGAGACTTAGGGAGACTCTGAATGCACTTAAGTCACCAGTCTGGCTCCTGGTTGTTTCAGATAAGACTCCCTCTGTGAGGACTTGTGGCCTGAAGCCAAGTACGCTGAAGCAGCTGGGCCAGCCCATCCAACAGCCATCTAGCACTGGTGAGGTGAAGGTAAGACCCTTTCCGCAGAGGGGGAGCCATCTGTTGCGGGGGCGGCTGACAGCTCCGAGAACAGGACTTCCATTGAGTGTCTCAAAGCCATAGGCAAAAAGCCTATTCTTAACACTGGTAGAACTGTGGGAGGAGGGTTAGCATGAATGAGTTATCTGTTTTTTAATTAGTTTCTTTTTCTGGTTATAAAAATGAATGCATGTTTTAAAATTTTTATTTAGAAATAATTAAAACAAGAAAACTTGCAAGAGTAAAAGTAGTACAAAGAGCACCCATGTACTCTTTACCTAGTTACCTATTGTTAACATATTAGCCCATTTTGCATTATCATTTGTGCTCATTTGTCTTCCCCATTGTGTGTGTGTGTATATATGTATGTTTAAAATACACATAATTTAAAGGTAACATGGCCTTTTACTCTTTAATGCTTCAGTGTGTATTTCCTAAGACTAGAGATATTCTGTCACTGAAACATTGATACTTTATCATTTGTATTCCAGTTTCGTCGGTTTTACCCAGTTGTGTCCTTTATAGCATTTTCTACGTTAGAACAGGATCCGATCTAGGCTTATATGCTGCATTTAGTTGTCATGTCTTTTTAGAAAAAATGAATGCATGGTTGTTATAGAAAATAAAGAAAATTCAGGTAAGGCAGAAAGAAAATAAGTCTCTTCTGATCCTGCCAGCCAGAAATAACTGTTATTGATGGTCTGGTGTGCGCTCATTCAGCCAAGTTCTTTCCTGCATTAGTCTGTGTTTAACTTTTAAATGTAATTTTTTAAACCTAATAGCATGGCTCTTTCTCCATGTACTGGTTTGTAACCAGTACAGTTCATTCCATTTAATGATAGAGCTATTAAAGATTTCTCAGGTGTCAAAATTGCATGTGTTCAAGTATATTTATTATTAGATTTTTTTTTTAGTTGTTTCGCCATTTGTGACTTGAATATGATCAAAGATCCCTAAATCAGCACTTTTGAGAGCATGGCCGTCAGTAACAAACACATTTCTACATCACAGCCCGGTAAATATATACATATATATACACATGAAAAGTTTAATGAAGCTATGCCCTTATTTTATGCAGTCATTTTTCCATTTCTTTTTCCAAAATGCTGGTTTCAGCCCATTAAGTTAATTTCACAATCCCTCAGTTTGAAATTGAAAACCCTGACATGGACCAAATTGGAATAGGAGTATCAAGTCTGCCATCTCCCTTGCCATGTGCTCTCTGTCAGGGAACTGCTTTTGTTTGATAGTTCTAAATTTGCCCCAACAAGGCTATCAGCCAGCTTCTACTTTGAAGGTTGATCTGTTTTCACCCAAATGTGGTGTCACCACTGGGTGCATGTGTGATCTTGGGGAATAGAAGGACGGTAATTGAGTCTGCTTCAGCTGCTTCCTAGATTTCCAGCCCTTAGATTCCCTTCATGTGTGTAAATTCCCAGTCTTCTGTGTAGTTTCCTTTTAATTGGCAAATTGGGTATTTGTTAAAAAGCCATAAACCCTTTTACTAGTCTTAAACCCGTTAAGTTACATGAAATCTTATGTTCTGAAAATTAACTTAAATTCATTATTACAGAATAATTATTTTTAATTTAGAATGCTTTCTTCATCTTTTCTTTTTTACATTCCATATAGAACATTTGAAAATTTTTATAGATAGTGGTAAAATGGAAAACAACCATGATCTTTCCCTCAACCTGTGACACTTTAGTGAATAATCTTTCAAACTTCTTGTTTTTTTTTGTTTTTTTTTGGCCGTGCCATGCAGGTTGCAGGTTGCAGGTTGCAGGATCTTAGTTCCCTGGCCAGGGATTGAACCCAGACCCCCAACAGTGGAAGTGTGGCGTCCTAACCACTGGACCACCAGGGAATTCCCCAGACTTCTTTATGTCAGCATAATTCAACCACATAGTTGTGTACAGAGCTATTACATTGTAAATCAGACTCATAGTGTTTCTGATATGCAGTGTTAGAAGCTGTGCAAAAGAGTGTGGGAACCCCTGGAGTTGAAAGTGACACTCAACCTTTGGTGGGCTGGTGACTGCTGACTAGCATTCCAGAGGGCTCATTTGGAGCGTAGCTCTACAAATGCCTGGGCAGCTGTTTCCTCAAGCTGTTTCAGGACACAGGACCTCAGGAGTTTGACTGAGGTTCAGAAGCACTAAAATAATTTGTTTTGATCTACAGCTACCAAATGGCCCAGCCAACAGGACATCTCAGGTGAAAGTTGTAGAGGTCAAGCCTGATATGTTTCCTCCATATAAGTATAGCTGCACCGTCACACTGGTAAGTGCAGACAGGTGATGGGTTGACATAGAGGTGGTTTGATTGTGTGGTTGAGAGTGAGTAGGAGTCTGAGGTGGGTGGGGAGTGGTACTTGGGAGTGAGAGTAGGGTGAGGGCTAGATCATAGATTCTGAAGATCCTGTCAGTGGTACAGATGATAGCTACTGGGTGAATCATCTAGGTTTGCTCTTTTTCCCAGATGAGATCCATGAAGTGTAGGCCAGCTGAGACCAGGATACTTCTTTTGAGAGTAGCTGGAGATGAGAATCCAGTCTAGCTTCAACATTCAGTCTTTGGACCTTTGGACCTTTTAGCCTCAAAAGTGTGGTCTACATATAAGTTCGAGAAATGTATTTTTTTCCTCCCTAAAACAGTCACATTCAGTACTAGTATCTGAAAGGGTTTGAGAAGTGCTTTAGTGAAGCAACTTTTGTCTAGCCTGGTGTTTCTCACCAAGGTTTTCCCTCCCCCACTTTTATTTTTAACATAACACATGTTAACATCCCAATAAATGAATGTGTGACTCTGGGGTCGTCCTTTTGCAGGGTAAGCAGCCTGGAGCAGTGGAGTAAACACTGGGTGTCGAAAGACCTAGTCCAAAAGTGGTTCTGGCTCTGCTGCTAGCATGGCATCTAACCTTGAGCAAGGCTCTTTCCTTCTCTGGTCCTCAGTTTTCAGTCTGTAAAATACTCTGTTGGTTTAGAAAGCATGTTAGGGCTTCTCTTGCTCAACGTTCTCTAGTTTTGTTGATCCTTAAGGTACCAATCAGCCAGGTATCATTTGGCAGTTTCCCTGGATGAGTAAGATACACAGATCTTGAGAAAGCAGCTAGATTTTTAAAAATTCAGAAACTTTATTGAGCACCTGCTCTGTGCCATGCCCTGTGCTAGGATTCAGTAGCAACAAGACAGCGCATAGTATGGTGGGTCAGTGCCTCATCTGGCCTGATCCTTGGGGAGAGTGTCTCTCTTATCCTAGAGAGCTGCTCAGGCTTCTTCTTCTAAAGACCTAATTACTACCTTCTCCATGCCATCCATCCCTTCACTATCTCTTCCGTTTGACTATGAGAGGCCACTAGGGATACCATCTGGTGGGAACTGCCCAGGACCTTCTCTTCGGCTAATTAGACTGTAGCTTGTCGTAGGAGTCTAGGTGCCAGAGGTTTGAGCTTAAATAGTCCAGAAGTCACAATTTATCTTCATTGGAGCTTGAAATCTTCGGTTCACCACAGTCTCTGGCACTCTGTTAGAACAGGCCTGTTTCACTCTGCTGATTGCCTGGACCCTGAAGGCAGTTGAATTTCTGACCTTTGAGATTCAACTCACTTGTTTCACAGATAGGGAAGGACTTGCCACAATTATTTAGGCTGTATTAAGACTGAAAGGGGATAGCTGCAGAAAAAGTGTCTTGCTTCAAGGCTCTTGGAGAGTTCGTCTAAATCTGGTTTTGTGATTGCCCTCTCTGTTTTACCCACAGCAGGTCATCCTGATTCTCGGCTCTGCCCAGGTGTAAGTTGACTTGTAGAATTGAACTGCAGTCTTACTTTTTTAGGATTTGGGCCTGGCTACATCAAGAGGTCGGGGAAAGTGCAAGAATCCCTCTTGTAGCTATGTCTACACCAATCGGCATAAACCGCGGATTTGTCCCAGCTGTGGTTTTAACCTTGCCAAAGACCGGACTGAGAAAACCACCAAGGTTCTCGTGAGTTCCTTCCCCAAACACACCCCACAGCCTTGGATTGGGCTCTGTTAGCAGACCAGCTTTAGGAGAAATAAAAGGATTTCTTAGTACACAGTAGTAGTTAGCACCTGAACTGGAACCAAGTTACAGGTTCTGAACCTGGGCAAGTGCCTTCTTTCTGGGCTTCCTTGTCCTCTTTGCCAAGCTGTGGGGGCTGACCACATACCTTGATCTCTGTGAACCTTCTAGCTCAGTGGACCAAAAGTTCATTCACGGGGGTGCCGGGGGGAAGCCAACATGGGCCTTAAAGAGGATTCTGAAGAAGAGAGGGGTGGAAGGGTTACATCCTTTTAGCTCTGAGGCTGGTGAAGGGCCTGTAAATAGAATTTTGGTAAATACAGAGTGCCAACCCCAGGACATTGTAGATGAGATTACTGCTTCTCAGGTTTCTTGCAGAGCATTTGGCCAACCACAAAGTTTTACTTCTAGCAGTGTGGCAGGCCTCCTCCCTGAAGTTGGGCCAAACTGTTTGGATAGTAAACACATTCCACTTGGCTTCTTAGGGCATGTTTTTTTTTTTGTTGTTTGTTGGTTTATTAGAACCAGGGAAAATAGGCAGTTTCAGAGGGCCTCTGAATTTCCACATGTGAATTTTTTTAAGTGAACAGAAAGATGTAGTACCTAAGGCAGGGAATAGAATGACTAGGATGAGGCTAAGAAGAGAGATCTCATTCATCCGCTTTGCAGGGAAAGAGGATGGCACGCGGAACAACAGGTCAGGATCCAAGATGGAGCCTGGTTACTCCAGATCTCAGCTGCACCTCACAAGATGTGCAGGATGTGGGTGGAAGGGGAAGGCATGCCATATACTCAGGGACTAGTATGAGCAGAAGTGAAGAGGTAGGGAGTCTGGTGTTCGTTCCGTTGGGTTAGAGGAGAGAGTATGTGGGGAGGATTATGGAAAACAAGTCTTGAAAGGCATATTGGGGCCATATCATGGACGATCTTTAATGCTAAGACCTGGCAGTTTATTTTTTAGGCAGTGGGGTCACACTGAATGTTCTTGAGTCAGGGAGAGACCCAGAAGGTTATGTCAGGAGGTCAGGGAGTTTGGGAGTGGACAGGACTGAGGGGGGTGGGGACTGCCTCTAGCTAAGTTTTCTGTGCATATGGAGGGGAGGGGCTTTCTGGCAGATGAATCTCACCCCCTTGATCTTCAGGTCTGTGCTTGAGATGGTGTTCTGAGGTTATCATCTTTGTGAGAAAGGGAAGTGGAACTAAAGTAAAGGAAAAAAACACTGAGACTAGGAATTGAGAGACCTGCCTGGGAGTGACCCTAAGCTGCTCGCTTTCCCTCTCCTGAATTTTTGTTTCCCCGTCAGTAAAACAAGGCAGGCAAGGTGGATTAGATCTGGGCATTTTATTCTCAGGGCCATGAGCCTTAGAGAACACTCAGAATTGAGCTTAAAGGAGTCTGTAAACCCTTGAAATTGCATGTAAAATGGTTCCATACCTTCCATCATATTCTGTTGTCCCACACGGTGCCCTCTGCTGGCAGTGAGCTTTCCTTTTGGCTTCTCCATGTGTTTAGTGTGCTCCGCTTCACGTTAAAAGCATCGACCACACCCTGTCTTTTTTTTTTCCTTCAAGAAAGTGCATGTTATTTAATAAATAGGGATGATTGTAGTGTAATATAAAGAAAACTGATTTAGATCTACAACTTACACCCCAAATGAACTCCATGTCAATTATTTGGTTATAGAAATGCAAAAAGGAAAAAAAAAAAAGTAAAGCATTAGTTACAAAAAATAAAGTTATGCTACCATTCCCAGAATTTAAATAAAGTATGAAGAAACATTATAACATTGTATTACTCAGACATCCTTTGTTTGTTTAAACTATTTCCTTAAGTCAGTTTCCCAGAGTAAAACTGTTGGTGCACACACACACAACACACATTTTCGTGGTTCTTGATAGGTGTTGAGAATCAAATTCAGAGCACATGTTTTTGACAAATATGAGAATACATATTTCTAGACAGAATTAAACAAAATATCTGAACTAAAGCCCATCTAGAACATCATACATTCTGTAATTACAGCAGATGAAATTAGAAATAACCTGTGTCCGCCATTGAAATAAAATAAATTATAACATATATTTATAACTAAATATTAAGATGTTGCATAAAAAGATAAATATAAAGATTAGTCTGCAAAATGGAAATGGTTTATGATCTAATAAGTGAAAAAATTTAGATGGTATGGGTAGTTTGATTAGAACTCTGTAGAAATGTGGATATAAAGGTTCTAAGGAAGCATAGAGAAATAGAAAATATTGACCACACCCTGTCTTGACTCTCTGTTAGCTCCCTGTGAGACCGAGATTACTTGTAGGACAGGTGTGTCTGTTGCCCCCATACTACTACTTTTTTTTTTTTTTTTTTTGTGGTACGTGGGCCTCTCACTGTTGGGGCCTCTCCTGTTGCGGAGCACAGGCTCCGGACGCGCAGGCTCAGCGGCCATGGCTCACGGGCCCAGCCGCTCTGCGGCATGTGGGATCTTCCCGGACCGGGGCGCGAACCTGTGTCCCCTGCATCTGCCAGCGGACTCTCAACCACTGCGCCACCAGGGAAGCCCCGATACTACTACTTTTTATTTCCCCCACTGGCCGCGTGGTTTGTGGGATCTTAGTTCCCAAACCAGGGATTGAACCTGGGCCCTCAGCTGTGAGAGCGAGGAGCCCTAACCACTGGACCACCCAGGGAATTCCCAGCTCCCATACTTCTAATGCTGGAGCTTACATATATAATGTGTCAGTCCATGATTATGGAATGGAATTGAGTTCTGTGTAGGTAGATGGCTCTGAACATTACTTTTTCCTGTTGATGTGACTTACAGTGTGAAAATGGATGTTGGTCTCTAGATCTGGAATGATGAGGTGACTTAACTTTCCAGGTTAGACAGGAGTTATCTAGGCACCTTTTGCCAATTGGTTTCAAATCCCACTCTTATTATATTCTTCTATCTTGGGCTAACTGGTAGCTGCTTACCACCATGACCCTCATCTTCAGACATTCCCTCACCTTCTAATTCTCTAAATTTTGGAGAAGCAAAATATAATTTTTGTTTTCCACAAAATAAAACACTGGTCAGAAACCCAAGGTCCTTTGTGTACCTTCTCTTTGGAGTCCTCTGGTGACCATACATTTCCTGTGCAGTTTGTTGCCAGTGGCTGTAATTAAGACCACAACATCTCTGGGCTGGAATGATCTTCATTCCTTTCCATCTTTCATCTGTGGCTCAGAGCCAAAGGATAGTACGCTTTCCAACCGATCTTCCAGCCCATGATTCAACATAGTCCTGACTGGGAACACACAGCCTCCTGGGGCAACTCATTCTAGTGTCACTCAGCTCTTCTACAACCATTCATTCATTCTTTCTTTCAGCAAGCATGTATTGAATGTCTATTATTGGTCAGGCTTTGGGGGCTACAAAGATGAATAAGACATGGCCACTTCCCTCTAGGAGCTTACAGTCTAGTTGGGGGGAAAGATAGGTAACCAAACTTACAGATAGTGAGACGAGTTGTCGTAGTTATACTGAGTAATAAGTTGTTACTAAGCAGTTAACTTCTATAAAACAAAATAATGTGTCTAGCAAATATGAATTAGCATCTTTTGTGTGCTCTCATGGTGGTATTGGGAATCAGTAAATAAGCAGGGCAGTGGACTGGTTTACCAACTGTGAGAAAATGAAATCTGCAATAAAGGAGTGGACTCTGGGAGCAAGAAGGAGGGCTTGATTTCACACTGCATTTGCACAAGGGATCAGGGAGGGACCTCCATTGAAAAGGGACCTGCCTCAGAAGGACCTGTTTCAGTGAGTGTTTCAGAACCTTGTTTCCTGGAAGCCTCTGACTGGTGTATAAAGTTCCCTTGTACCAAGAAGCCACGCACTATTAAAGATAAATGCTTTAAGCTGTATAGGTACTTGTTTATAAATCATAATTACCATTCATAGAATTTTTGTTGCAATACTATCTCATTTACTGTACAACAACTCTAGGAGATTATTAGTATTTTGATCCTTCATTTCGTAGGTGAGGAAATTGAGGCTCAGAAAGATTAAGTAAATTGCTGTGGGTCACCCATATATATAGCTGTTCAGTGGCCTAACCAGAATTGAACCCCTGGACTGTTATCCTCCAAACCCAATACCCGGTGAATGGGAGCTGACTCTTGAAACCATTACCAAGAGGTGCGTATAATCCTCTCGTTCTACTGGTAGAGAAACAGCGCTAGAGAGAGAAAACACTTGCCGTGAGTCACACAGTGAGTTATTAGCTGAGTTGGTTAGGAACCTAGGTTTCCCAGCTCTCAGTCATGGGCCCATCTCTCTGCCACTCATGGTTTTGGCCTCATGCTGGCTCTTTATGCCCTGGGCGCTTAGTGATCAATCCACTCTCTTCAGGAGGCGAGCTCACCACTCTCGGATGTGCCGAGCGCCACAGAGCCCCTGAGCGCAGCCCAGAGGGAGATCCAGCGCCAGTCAACGCTGCAGCTGCTGCGCAAAGTCCTGCAGATTCCTGAGAACGAGTCAGAGCTGGCTGAGGTCTTCGCCTTGATTCATGAACTCAATAGCTCTCGACTCGTCCTGTCCAACGTGAGTGAGGAGACAGTCACCATCGAGCAGACTTCTTGGTCGAATTATTATGAGTCTCCATCCACGCAGTGCCTTCTCTGTAGCAGCCCATTGTTCAAAGGGGGACAAAAGTAAGCACCTCTTTCAGATTTACCCTTCCCGAGCTGCCCCATCTTACATGGCCTGTACTGCCCCTTCAAATACCTTTAAGGCTATAACCTTTGAAGATGTTCTTCTCAGCTTTTCTTAAGGTTTCCTTTACTTTTCCAATTGTCAGAAATAAAATAATAATGATAATACTGATTATCCATCATTTCTATTGAAATGTTACTATCACCAACTTAGGATTTAGTTTACTTCTGGACTGCCTGGCATAATGCTTGGATTTGGGAATTCATTGGGGTTGGTTAAATTGGGTTATAAGTTCAGAATTATATTAACTTGAGGGGTGATTCTATAGGCCAGTCCAGGGAAGTGGGAACACCCACCTAGAAAATCCTTGGAACGCAAGGTCCAACACCTTCATTTGCCTACTATATTTAAAGTCTTGAGGATTTTTGCCATTGATCATTGAGCCCAGGAACTGCAGTAAGTTGATTTCCCTTCTGTTTTTTTGTTGATGTTCTTGGTACTAGCTCCCTGGCCGGGCCCCAGGAGTGCTGGCTGCTGACAGCCAGCTGGCTGCAGGTGGTGACTGCCCAGGTGAAGATGTGTCTGAATCCCCATTGTTTGGCCCTGCACAGCTTCATGGACATCTATACAGGTGGGTGCCAGCCTTTTTTCCCTCAGAGGGCATGTTTGAGAACAGCCTCTGTGGGTCAGACCTCTAGTCCTTTGAGACTGGATCTTCTCTCAGATAGGGCTTCTGAGGAAGAGGGTGGTTTTTCCTCCTGGATATCTCAGCCCCAGAAGATTCCGTTTATCTCAGAAGTGTTAGGACTCTCTTATCAGTGCTCTTTAAACAAAGTTAATTGTAAAATAACAGATCTTCGTTGTGGAAAAAACAAAATGCTGACGAGTAAAAAGAAACTAAAAATCACTAGTAATCCTACTGCCATGAGATGAACACTTAATATTGTGCTCTGTAGTCTTTCAGATGTGTTATTCATCCCTGCAGAATAAAAGAAGATATAGGATTTATAGATCTATAGTTTTTCTTTGAACAAAAGTGGGGCTGTGCTGGATGTTGTTTTGGAGTGTTCTTTTTAAATACAGTGATGTATCATGGACATCTTCCTATGCCAGCAAGTGGAGAAATACATGACCATTTTTAAGGAGTGTGTGATGTTGCATTTTATAGTCCTCTTAATAATTAAGTCTTTTGTACAGCCTTAATTATTTCCTTTGGGCAAATGCCCAAAAGTGGAATTGCTGCATATTCACCCTTTCCTTCCATTCATTCATCAGCATCATTCATTGAACACTGACCATGTACCAACCACTCTGAAAATTTGAATCTTGGGTTTTATATGTAGAATGGAGTGCTGAAGATTAAAGAGTATTTATTATCCTCCTTGTCTTCAGAACCTTATGGTGCCTTATGTAGAATGGAGTGCTGAAGATTAAAGAGTATTTATTATTCTCCTTGTCTTCAGAACCTTATGGTGCCTTATTTTGAATTCATGCTTTTATTGTCTTGTTTTGCCAGATTGAGTTTGTACTACTTTATGCTCTTGTCAGCAGTTAATGAGAATGCCATTTCCCTGCAGTCTGTCTCAGCCTGTAATACCTAGGGTTTATATATATATTTTTTTAATTTTAAATTTACATGCAGTAAAATTTGCTTTGCTGTTGTGCAGTTCTGTGAGTTCTGACAAATGCACTGAGTTGTGTAACTCCCACCACAATCAGTATATAGAACAGTTCCATCACCTCACAACATTCTTTTTCTGTCCCTTTGTAATCAAAACCACCCCTCACCCCTAACCTCTAGCAACCATTTGATGTTTTCTTCATTCCGTATAGTTCTATCTTTCCAGAGCATCATACAAATCTATAGTACCATTTTGAGTTTGGCTTCTTTCACTAAGTGTAATGCCTTTGAAATTCATCCATATTGTTCTTTGTATCAGTAGATTGTTCCTTTTTATTGTTGAGTAGCTTTCCATTGTGTGGAGCACCACACTTGATTTATCTGTTCACTCCTTGAAGGACGTTTGGGATTTTACCAGTTTTTGGCAGTTATGAATAGAGTTGCTGTAAACATTCATGTATAGGCTTTTTTTTTATTATTGGAGGACAGTTGCTTTACAATGTTGTGTTAGTTTCTACTATACAGCAAAGTGAATCAGCTATACGTATACATATATCCCCTCCTTTTTGGATTTCCTTCCCATTTAGGTCACCACAGAGCACTGAGTAGAGTTCCTTGTGCTATACAGTAGGTTCTCGTTAGTTATCTCTTTTATACATAGTATCAATAGTGTATATATGGCAATCCCAATCTCCCAATTCATTCCACACACACCCCCCTTTCCTCTTTGGTATCCGTATGTTTGTTCTCTACATCTGTTCATGTATAGGCTTTTGTGTAAACAAAAATTTTCATTTCTTTTGGGTAAATACCCTAGGAATCAGATTGCTGTGCCATGTGATAAGTGTATATTTAATTTTATAAGAAATCACCAAACCGTTTACCTAAATGTTGCTGCCATTTTTCATTCCCTCTAACAATGGGTGAGAGTTCCAGTTTGCCTCACTTGTCAGCACTTGGTAATGTCTAGTTTTTTGTGTGTGTTTTAGCCATTCTAATAGGTGTGTGTAGTAGTAACTCATTGTGGTTTCAGTTTCTATTTCCTCAATGACTAATGATGTTGAGCATCTTTTCATGGGCTTATTTACCATCTGTATTTCTTTGGTGAAGTACCTGTTCCATCTTTGGCCCATTGAACTGGGTTGTTTTCTTGCTGTTGAGTTTTAAATGTTCTTTATATAGTCTGGATACAGGTCCTTTGTCAGATAAGTGATTTGCAGATACTTTATACTTTATTATGGTCTGTGGCTTGTATTCTCATTCTCTTAACACAATCTCCCACAGAGAGAAAGTTCTTAATTAAGGACCAATTCATCATTTTTTTCTTTTAGAGATTGTTTTTGATGTTATTGCTAAGATGTCTTTACTTAGGTGGAGGTCATAAGTATTTTTCCTATGTTTTCTGCTAAAAATTTTATAATTTATCATTTACATTTAAGTCTGTGATCCATTTTTAATTGAGTTTTATATAAAGTATGAGGCCCAGATTGAAGGTTTTTTTCTCCATTTGGACATCCATTTCTTTCACCATTTGTTGAAAAGTAGTCCTTTCTCCTTTGAATTGCCTTTGCTCCTTTATTGGAAATCGATTGACCATGTATGTGTGGGTCTATTTCTGCACCCTGTTCTATTGGTTTATGCTGTCTATCCTTTAGCAAATACCGCACGTTGTCTTGATTACTGCAGCTTTGTAGTAAGTCTTATAGTCAGGTAGTGTGAATCCTCCAACCTTGTTTTTCCTGAATTGTTTTAACTGTTTAGTTTCTTGCATTCCCATATAAATTTTAGAATCAGCTTGTTAGTGTCTACAGAATCCTGCTAGAATTTTTTTTTTTTTTTTTTTGCTGTACGCGGGCCTCTCACTGTTGTGGCCTCTCCCGTTGCGGAGCACAGGCTCTGGACGCGCAGGCTCAGCGGCCACGGCTCACGGGCCCAGCTGCTCCGCGGCACGTGGGATCCTCCCAGACCGGGGTATGAACCCGCGTCCCCCACATCGGCAGGCGGACTCTCAACCACTGCGCCACCAGGGAAGCCCCCCTGCTAGAATTTTAATTGGGATTGTGTTAAATCTGTATATCAGTTTGGGGATGTTTGACATGCTTAAAGATACTGAGTCTTCCAATCCGTGAACATGGTCTATCTCTCCATTTTATTACATTTTCTTTTGTTTTTCTCATCAGTGTTTTGTTGTTTTCAGCATATAGTTCCGGTACATATTTTGTTAGCTTATACTAAATGACATGGTTCAATTTCTAACTGTTCAGTGCTAGTATAGAAATACAATTGGGTTTTGTCTATTGATTTTATTCAGTGACCTTGCAAAACTCACTTTAGGAACTTTTTGTAGATTAGTATTATAATTTTTTACAGTTTGTCAATTTGATAGGTAAAAACTGAAATATCATTTTTTTAAAATTTATTTTGTATTGAAGTATAGTTGATTTACAATGTTGTGTTAATTTCTGCTGTACAGCAGAGTGACTCAGTTATATACATATATACATCCTTTTTAAATATTCTTTTCCATTATGGTTTATCCCAGGATATTGAATATAGTTCCCTGCGCTATACAGTAGGACCTTGTTGCTTATCCAGTCTATATGTAATATGTACTAACCCCAACTCCCAGTCCATCCCTCCCCTACCTCTCTTCCCCCTTGACAACCACAAATCTGTTCTCTGTGTCCGAGTCTGTTTCTGTTTCATAGATAGGTTCATTTGTGCCCTATTTTAGATTCCACATATAAGTGATATCGTACGGTATTTGTCTTTCTCTTTCGGACTTACTTCACTTGGTATGGCAATCTCTAGTTGTATTCATGTTGCTGCATGTGCCATTATTTTTTTATGGCTGAGTAGTGTATTGTGTATGTGGGATCTTCCCAGACTGGGGCACGGACCCGTGTCCCCTGCATCGGCAGGCGGACTCTCAACCACTGCGCCACCAGGGAAGCCCACGTGTATCCTTTTGAACTACGTCTTTTTCCAGATATATGCCCAGGCGTGGGATCATATGGTAATATCTTTTTAGTTTTCCATACTCTTTTCCATAGTGGCTGCACTAACTTGCATTCCCACCAACAGTGAAGGAGGGTTCCCTTTTCTCCACACCCTCTCCAGCATTTATTGTGTATAGACTTTTTAATGATGGCCATTCTGACTGGTGTGAGTTGGTGGTACCTCACTGTAGTTTTGATTTGCATTTCTCTAATAATTAGTGATGTTGAACATCATTTCATGTGCCTATTGACCATCTATCTGTCTTCTTTGGATAAATGTCTATTTAGGTCTTCTAGCCATTTTTTGATTTGGCTGTTTGGTTTTTTTCTTTGGTTGTTGTTGAGTTGTATGAACTGTTTGTATATTTTGGAAGTTAAGCCCTTGCTGGTCACATTGTTCGCAAATATTTTTTCCCATTCCATAAGTTGTCTTTTCGTTTTGTTTATGGTTTCCTTTGCTGTGCAAAAGCTTGTAAATTTGATTAGGTCCCATTTGTTTATTTTTTTATTTTTTGCGGTACGCGGGCCTCTCACTGTTGTGGCCTCTCTCGTTGCGGAGCACAGGCTCCGAACGCGCAGGCTCAGCGGCCATGGCTCACGGGCCCAGCTGCTCCACGGCATGTGGGATCCTCCTGGACCGGGGCACGAACCCGTGTCCCCTGCATCGGCAGGTGGACTCCCATTTGTTTATTTTTGTTTTTATTTTGTTTATTTTCTGTTGCCTTGGGAGACCTAAGAAAATAGTGGTACAGTTTCTATCAGAGAATGTTTTGCCTACAGTCTCTTCTAGGAATTTTATGGGGTCTTGTCTTATATTTAAGTCTTTAAGCCATTTTGAGTTTATTTTTGTGCATGGTGTGAAGGTGTGTTCTAACTTCATTGATTTACAGGCAGCTGTCCAACTTACCCAGCACCACTTGATGAAGATACTTCCTTTTTCCCATTGTATATTCTTGCCTCCTTTGTTGAAGATTAATTGGCCATGGGGGTGTGGGTTTATTTCTGGGCTCT